CCATTTGAAACAGCACAAGGTGCATCCATGTGGGACTTTTGTGACCAAAATCCAAGATTCAACAAAGTTTTCAATGAAGCAATGACTAGTGATTCCCAAATGATGAGTTTGGTAGTGAAGGACTGCAAACAAGTTTTTGAAGAGCTGGATTCCTTGGTTGATGTTGGAGGTTGCATTGGTGTTATTGCTAAGACTATTTTGGCTGCATTTTCTCATATAAAATGCACTGTTTTAGACCTTCCTCGTGTTGTTGGCCAGATACAGAAAATTTGAAATATGTGGGAGGTGACATGTTTCAGTCAATTCCCTCTGCTGATGCCATTTTGTTTAAGGTAAGAAGATGCTAACTTTTGTTATTCTTTTGTTTATAAGTTGACATGTATTTTGTCGTCCAATTTATGTAATGGTGGTTGACCGGGTATGATTTTAGAAAGATAGAAAGTTGATTGAAACTTGTGATCTAAAATAAACAATAGATATATTTATAAGACTATAAATCATATAAAATGAACAATTTAAAGTTAAATTGTATAGAATCTTTTGGAAATGACTATAAAAGGAAGAGGTCACAAAAAATACTGTACTTGATCGATGTGTCCCTCAGAGTACTCTTGAATGGGTCATCACTTGTGAGAATGGCATAATGTTAATCCATGTTCAGTTTTTAATCTCTTGAGTCTTGACTTAGTCATTGGAAAATCCCTTTGCTACTTCACTGTTCATACGTTATTATGTAGTCTTTTAATTACTATATAATTTCTGTATTAAATGTTATAGGTCATTGATTGTGAATTTGTGATACTTATGAAGGGTCTGTTCAGTTCGGTTATTAAATTATGTTTTTTTGTCAGAATCTAAAAATAGGTGATTTGAATCCCCGCTGTTCTCGTTTCCTCCTCTTGCTTTCTTGCTTTTGACAAGAGTGGGTTGCTCTATTGGTAAACATCCCCACTTCCAACCAAGAGGTTCTGAGTTCGAGTCACCCCAAGAGCAAGATGGAAAGTTCTTGGAGGGAGGGAACCGAGGATCTATCGGAAACAGTCTCTCTACCCTAGGATAGGGATAAGGTCTGCGTATACACTACCTTACCAAGACCCCATTAGTGAGATTATACTGGGTTTTTGTTGTTGTTGTGCTTTCTTGCTCATACCAATGTCTAACAAAACAGTTAAGAAATTTTATCCTATGCTTGAAATTGAAAATATATTTTTTTCTTTTGCAGATTGTTATGCATAATTGGAGTGATGAGGATAGTGTGAAGATGCTAAAGAGATGCAGAGAAGCTATCAAGGATAAAGATGAAGGAAGAAAAGGGAAGGTCATTATCATTGACATAGTCCTGAATATAGAAGAAGAAGAACTAGACGACTGAACTGAAGCTCTTTTTTGATGTATTGATGATGGTTTTACTCACCGGAAGAGAGAGAACTGAGAAAGAATGGGAAAAGTTGTTCCTTGAAGCTGGATTCAGGAGCTACAAGATTACCCCCGTGTTTGAAACTAAGGTCCCTTATTGAAGTTTTGTGCATTCTCAAATATAAAAATCATTAGGCATAGTATTTTCAATTACGTAACCATATTGCACTCAAATTTCCCAATAGTCTGAGGTCTTAGTCCACTAAAAGCATAAGAGGCAACTCTTATATTGAAAAGTTTCACTCCAACCAAATAATAAGCACTAAACTCTACAATAGACAGGGCGCTTTTACCATGAAAAAAAAGTCTAGAGTACTTAAAATAGATTGAAAGAAATCCAATCTAAGCAAACATAGTGAAGGGAAATTTTTTTTTATAAACGTTAGCAAGTGAATGAATTAATACTCGTTAATATTGGTTGGTGTTGCTTATCATACAAAAGATTGTAATAAGCAACAGAAAGTCAAGTTAATTTAAGTTATAAAATTCATCATAAAAGAGTTGAATGAAACAATCCAGAGGAGAATTTGTTAGCTTTTCGCATGAATAACTTATCAAGAACAAAAGTCTAACCCGCACTCAAGGGTCATCGTCAAAAAAGTTGGATGAAAATATGGGAGGATTGTGTTTGGTACGAAAAAATATATTCAAGTTAATCACACTCAAAAAAAATATTTTCCATTAAAAAAGGGAAAAACAACGTTCTTGTTTGGATGATTGTTATGTATCGTTTCATAATATATCAGATAGTATTGTATTGTATTGTAGCGTTTTGATGATGCAATGTTTGGATAGATTGTATTGTTTGTTGTCGTTTCATGATGTCATGAACCAACAATATGAAAAATAAACTTGCAATATTATAAGAAAAAGTAAGGTACGAGGTAGAATTGTTATATAAAAAGGTAGTGTAAAAGATAAAATAGGATTATTTAATAATAAGCAAGGGCAAGATGAGAAAAAAAATATAAGAAAATGACACGACCACACTAAATCGGTCATTCCATAAAGTGACACTTTTCGTCGTTGTGTAATGACGGATTTAACGATATGATACAATAAAATTTAAGTAACAATCAAAACAAATATTGTATTTAAGTAATCGATACAATACAATAGATAACAACCATCACAAACAAGATGTTATAGTTTCCTCTGCTAATCCATTTGAAATAGTTCTAGATTTTAAGAAGTGTTAGATAATGGATAGTGAGGCAAAGTTTTTTCAGAAAATAATTTAGGCAAAATATTTTTTGAAAAATATTTTTCTTCATAACAAGCACACCGTAGGATTCAAATCTCAATAGAAGCAAAAAATAAAAAAAATAAAAATAGTTGATTTCTTTCTCATCTGTCTAATCTTTGTCGGCAGAACCAAGAATTATTCGACACCAGTACAAAGTGGAATAATCGAAATGCATTACAAGTTGTGTCCTCGTGACTCTAAAAATAGGCTAATATTTTACGGCTTTGCTGTCCTAATTAAGTCCACGATCAATAGATAATTGGCCAAGGCTATGATCTTTTTCATATCTCGATCAACCAAAGTCGTGTCGGAGTATATATTTTTGTCGCCCCCACAAGTTTATCTTCCTTGAACTGAACTTTCTTTGTAACAAATCGTAGCTAGTTCATTTCAATACCGATTTACGAAAGAAAAAGGCAGGGAAATTCTGATCAATATGGAAGCCAATGATGTGCCAACAGCTAGTGAAATGTTCCTAGCTCAGGCTCATATCTACAAGCATACCTTCCATTTTGCAAATTCCATGGTTCTTCGTTGTGCAATTCAGTTAGGCATACCGGATATAATTCATAGTCATAAGCAGCCAACGACTCTCTCTGAGTTAGTTTCAGAGCTGAAACTTCCTCCTGCAAAATCAAATGGAATTCATCGACTGATGCGTCTGTTGGTATACTCTGGTTTTTTTGCTACTAAAAAGCTTGATGAAAACTCAGAAACACAAGAAGGGTACGTTCTTACAGCTTCTTCTAAGCTGCTTTTGAAGAGTGAAATCCCAAATTTGTCACCTTTTGCCAGAGCAATGCTTGATCCTATTATGGTTAATCCATGGCATTCTTTAGGCGATTGGTTTCTTGGAAATGAAGCCACCCCATTTGAAACAGCATATGGTACACCCTTGTGGGAATATTGTGACCAAAATCCAGGATTCAACAAAGTTATCAATGAAGCTATGGCTAGTGATTCCGAAATGATGAGTTTGGTAGTGAAGGACTGCAAACTAGTTTTTGAAGAGGTGGATTCCTTGGTTGATGTCGGAGGTGGCACTGGTGTTATTGCTAAGACTATTTTGGCTGCATTTCCTCATCTAAAATGCACAGTTTTAGACCTCCCTCATGTTGTTGCTAACATGCCGGATACAGAAAATTTGAAATATGTGGGAGGTGACATGTTTCAGTCCATTCCCCCTGCTGGTGCTTTTTTGTTTAAGGTAAGAAGATGCTAACTTTTGTTTCTTTTGTTTACAAATTGACATGTACTACATCTGATCTCTAAGTTCGTAAATAGTAATCTTGGGTGGCTCATCACCTATGACATAATGCTAAGTTATGTTCCACATGGTCGTATGGTTGAGAAAATATGACATTTAATTTGCAGCTGGTTATGCATGATTGGAATGATGAGGATTGTGTGAAGATGCTAAAGAGATGCAGAGAAGCTATGAGGGATAAAAATGAAGGAAGAAAAGGGAAGGTCATTATCATTGACATAGTGCTGAATGGAGATGAAGAAGAAGCAGACATGACTCAACTCAAGCTCATTTTTGATGTATTGATGATGGTATATCTCCCTGGAAGAGAGAGAACTGAGAAAGAATGGGAAAAGATATTCCTTGAGGCTGGATTCATGACCTTCAAGATTACCCCTGTCTTTGGCCTAAGGTCCCTTATTGAAGTTTTTCCTTAAATATATTATGTAAGTAAGAATTATGATGAACCTACATGCAGTATTAAATAAACAATCAGATGATTGTTTAAGTTTGCACAACGTGTTTGAGCTTTTCCCAAAAATGGCTGAAAATTTTAAATGGGATTGAAGTAAATGAAATGATATGATTTTGCAATAGCTAGCTAGCTCTGCACGTACTTGGTATAGCTGTTTATTATTTTCTACTCAATAGTAAATAACCAATTTTTAAAAAGGAAAGCTAAAGATTTTAAAATATTCTTTTTTTCAATAAAAAAAAAAAGAGAGCTCTTCAAAGCCAAAAAAGCCTTAACATGGGTAGTATTTGATATTTGGAATAAGTAGTTGAGGAAGTTTAAATGAAAAACAGAAAGCAATACAGAGATGGATATATAAAAACAAACAAAAGGGCGGTTAAGTTTCAATGCTAAAAGACAGGAAATTGAAGTCCTAGGGTAAACATGAGAATAAGCTTAGAGCTGACATTTGAATGTCACACAAGCCAACAGTGAACCATATGACAAAGAAAAGAGTGAGTTGTCACAATTCTGAGCATGCCATCAAAAGCCTAGTTCAATACATAAACATAAAGATAGCTCATGTATCACACTTGCCTAGTTTCAGCAACAATTATAGAGAACTTCCTGAGCTAATAATGGAAACAGATAATATTAATGAGTTGTTCAAAGCACAGGCTCATATCTACAAGCATGCATTTGGTTATGCAAATTCCATGGCCTTGAATTGTGCCATTCATCTAGGCATACCAGATATTATACATAACCACAGAAAACCAATCACTCTTCCTGAGCTAGTTTCAGCACTCAAACTTCCCTCATCAAAATCAATAGGCATTTATCGACTAATGCGCCTGTTGGCGCACTCTGGATTCTTTGCTACAGCAAAGATCGACGAAAACTCAGAGACAGAGGGATATATTTTGACAACTCCTTCAAGGCTGCTTCTTAAGAGTGAATTCCCAAACTTGTCACCTTGCGTTAGAGTAATGATTGACCCTATCGTTGTCACTCCTTGGCAACTAATGCTTGAATGGTTTCACAATAAGAATGAAGAAGCCACAGCATTTGAGACAGCCCATGGGGTACCTATGTGGGAATTTTGTGCACAAAATCCAAGATTCGACAAAGATTTCAATGAAGGAATGGCTAGTGATTCCCAAATGATGAGATTAGTTGTCAAGGATTGTAAGGAAGTTTTTGAGGGGATGAACTCATTGGTTGATGTTGGAGGGGGCATTGGGATTATAGCTAAGACCATTTTTGAGGCATTTCCTCACTTGAAGTGCACTGTCCTTGATCTTCAACATGTTGTTGCCAACATGCCACAAAGTGAGAATTTAAGCTATGTTGGAGGGGATATGTTTCAATCTATTCCTCACGCTGATGCCATTTTGCTTAAGGTATATACAAGAACTTTATACTTAACATCCTTTATGTACATGAGTTTGATTTTAGCACACTATCAAATCACTTAAAAGAGCAGTCCATAAAAGTGAGATTGGTAACTCGGAAAAAAAAAGCAGGTTAAGTACACTAAAATTAAATCCCCACATAGATTGTCAAATATAATTTGGGCAACTTCTACTTAGGTTGGAATTTGTTTCTCCATTTTCTATACACTATCTGAGGCACAACCTTCTATACTAGCATAGATTATACAGAAGCACAAATTTTTCACATGAATTCAACTTTCTAGATCCTTTTTATATTATTTAAATTAATTGTTAAACTAATTTTACGTCTGTTTGATCTAACTAACCATCTTTGAAGTTGGCAGAATATTGCTCAAATTAATCAAAATTCGATACAGTGTCACATTGTTATGTTTTGCAGCATGTATTGCACAGTTGGAGAGATGAGGATTGTGTCAAGCTACTGAAGAAATGCAGAGAAGCTGTTGCAGAGAATGAAGAGGGAAGAAAAGGGAAGGTCCTTATCATTGACATGATATTGAATAGAAATGAAGAAGAGCCAGACATGACTGAAGTGAAGCTCATGTTTGACATGTGGATGGCAATGGTTTTTACTGCAAAAGAAAGAACTGAGGAAGAATGGGGAAAGCTATTCCTTGAAGCTGGCTTTACTCGTTACAATATAAGACCAATCTTTGGCCTTAGGTCTCTTATTGAAGTTTTCCCTTGAAAATATATATGGGGTTTTATTGTGTTTTTCTTAAGAGAGATGATGTTCATGTTGTGCTCTGATAAACAAAGACTTGCCTTCTTACATAATAATAACCCATTTCTCTGTTTTATTAAGCAGTGTCCCAAGGTATCCTATTTGTAATTCCTTCAAGAGACTAGAGTCAAGAATTTTCACCAGCATATGACTCCCTTGGTATCAAGGCCTTACTAGTGTCCCTCGTAGTACAATTTTACTTTTTTTTCTACCTAGCCCAATAAAGTGGGCTGCTAGCCCATGAGTTAATCCTGATTGGAATCTTTACATAAACAGCCCGTCGGATTTGCCATTTATTTTCTCTAGTCGATTATATCGATTATACACGATTATTAGATATATTATATATGAATTATCCATATGTTATACATCCATCGACTACTTTTAGTTAAAGAGATAAGGTGAGCGATTATTTAGGTTAATTATTCATCTTGGGGTTGATTTAATGGGGACTTGCATGATACGTTGCCATATACACCGCAATTTTGCCCCAATTTAATAGCATATTTGACCAAACTTCCAAAATCTGCTTGCTTTGAAAAGTGTTTATGTCACGTCCTAAAGTATCCTCTAGTCGTGACTGACACTCAACTAACACTACCCGCCAGGTAAACCAATTTATACCATACAATTAGCATTTTTTTTAAAAAGTCAATCAAAATAAACGCAAGTTTCAATATTTTGATAATTTGATGCATAATTACCGATCTAAATTATTCCATAAATATTTATGAATAATAATAATGAAAATTAAGGAATAACACTCTATCCCAAATCCCACACTAGACCATGGAGCATCTAAGAGGAATATAAAAAACATCATATGAATAAATGATAAAGACTTTTTGGCAGCCTCCACGAATAATGCAATGACTCACCTCAATAATTGGATCAACTCTAGAGAACTCGTCAGCTACTAGCTCTGTCTCCACGAATAGTATCTACATGGATATGCAGGTAAGGAGTGAGTTATACGTGAATATAACCCAGTAGGATTCTCGACCCGCCACTTTAAATACCCTGGAACAAGTATTAGAAAATACAAACACACAAAAAGTACATATATAATATGCACAGAAATTATTGCACAATATAATACTCAATAAAGTTTAGACCAGTATTTAACAGGTAGCATTTTATATCTCAACACAATTTACACTAAGGACTTGTCATAAATGACAGTGTAAAAAATTTACTAACACCCCGACAAGTCCACGACGACACCACAATGCCTCAAATATGTAAAGAGCATACAAATGAACACAGAAGCATACACAATGCCTCAATTATATCAAGAAACATACACAATGCTCTAGTGATGTACAAAAGCATACACAATGCCCCAACATCATGGCTCACAACCGTATCAAACCATCAAACCCAGCATCATGGCTCACAGCCATATCACACCATCAAACAACTTACAAAGTAATTTTAGTATTATTTTTGTCATAAAATAATATATTTGCGGCTAGTCAAAGATCACCGATTCTGCCAAGCGCACCCTTGTCCCAACACATGGACACCGCAGATAAAATACATTTTCAAGACAGGTTTTGAAAAGCAAGTATCAAAACTTAAAGTCTCACTTACCTCATTAACGAAAAGTTTTCTAACCTTGCAATGTCTAGAACACCAATCAAATGGCCTCCAACAACCTCAATCTAACCAAAAATATTGATTAACAATATCAATTATGTTAATCGGGTTGATCTCATAATTCTTTTGAAATATTCAAAATAAAGTTAACTCAAAAGTCGACTCCCGTCGATTATGGTTAAATCCCCGAACAAATGATATTATCGAACTACCCATAAGTGGAAGAGTCCAATCTATCATCAAGTTCCAATCTCGATACTACGATAAGGCAAATCTGAATTCTTATACTAAATCCAACAATTGGTATGCTAATCAGTCGACTAATCCCTTAATCATTCACATATTCAAAGCTTATTTGGCTGGCTTAAAAGGTTTCTAATCATCCTAAACTTTACGCTCATTAATGCACCTGTAACTACACGTGAGTTAGAGGAATTCTAACCTTATTACATGAATATATGTAATGCAAGTATGTAACTAATCTAACAATATATACAAAACTCTAAAACGAATTCCATGTGCAAAGTGTTCTAACTTCAAAAGGGCAATCTCAAATAGTTCTTATCCATATTTTAAATAGTAAGATTTTCATTACAAAATTCTACTTATATTCCCATGGCCTTATAAATACTACAATGTTTTCCATGACCACACTGTTCCCAACTCGATCTTTGTCATTATAACAAAAAGAATTAGTGATATCCTTCCTAGATTAATTCAAGAAATATAGCCATAGTGATAAAATTAAACCTATACCTTTCTATCACAGTTGAGTTGTAACTTGCAAGAATATTTTACTCTTTCTAGCTCTCTAAGTTCACGCCACCAACGGTTCAAGAGAATCCCTGCCACTGCCGAAAAGCCCTCTACACTGTAGTGAATTTCTCTTAGTTATCTATGATAGAATAGAGCAGATAAGAAAATGGATAAGATGGCATTTTTAATATTGCAAACTCACACCTTTATTTGCAACAGAAGAAGCCATTATATAGGCCTTTACAGAGACTTCATGACTGCGCATGAAACCCACAAACCCACGACTAAACAAACATTAACTAGGACTCCTAACAGACTCCACTATGTCAACTAAAACCACTCGTCCACTTCCTAATAACTAGGAGCTGACCAATTCAACTAAATAAAAGACCAAACAAACATTAAACAAATAATTCCTAAATAAAAGGATAATCCCAACAATACCTCCCTTAAACTGATAAGTTACAGACTTTCGGTTTAATTGCCTTCACCAAGAGGGGTTGAATTGTAACCTTTTTAAATTTCTAGTCGACTACTTCTCAGATTTAGTCAACTAATATGGAGACAACCTGCACAATACTGTTAGTATCAACAAACAGTAATTGCTTATAATAAAATATGAAAGCAGTAAGGTAAATAACACCAGAAATTTTATACTGGTTCGGAACCAATGTGGTATCCTACTCTTTCAGCAACAACGAACAAGTGTTGGTTTTAACACGCCCACCAACAACGCAAAAGGTTGGTTTTTACTCGCTCACCAACAACGACTCTTTGGTTTTCACTCGCTCACTAAAGAAACGAATAATGACACAACTTCTAAGGACACACTGCCTCTCCAATATTTTTCTATCTCTCTTCACTCTTTTGTGTACACAGTAAATTTACTAAAAGTGAATTACAATATTTGTTAAGAGTAGAATAAAGAACTTGTAGTTGGATAGATAATTGTATAGAAGGTTGCACATTTTCTTCCTTCATAGAGCTTGTATATTTATAGTCAGTTCAACTTGTTCTGGCTATTGCATAGCCCAAGGGAATTTGACCGTTGCTCCTTTATTTGTTTCCATAATTTGCAGCTCCAGTACTTGTATGAATATGGACAGTATAATGACTTGGCACTCTTTTGAAGGTGGATATACCATAGGTATCTTTGCAACATTGATTTCTTTTCCTTGTTTGGCTTCTTGTATTTCGTTGTCTCCACTTTCCTTCCTTGAATATGTAAAATCTTCGTTGAGTACCGGCATGAGAATCATTGTGTAGAGGATTCTTTTCCTTTTTTCTTTTCTTGGTGCTTGAGTCATTAATGAGATCTCAATTTGATCATAAGTAATTTTCTTCGTAGGCCTATAGAAACTTGATTCAGAAATACAATTCTTCAACATTCCTTTTGTTGATTCTTCATTCACTACACCACTTTTTCCTTTTATGGTAGTAGAATATTCTCTCTTTATTTGGATGCAATATCTTGGTTGATCTTCTTTAGAAAACCTTTCATTTCATAATTAATTTCTGTTGCATCTTCACGTGCATCATTCTTCAACCTTCTTTAGTCTTGATTCAATATTCATGAATTTCCATAAGAGCAATAGTCATTCTTTATATGGAACTCAAACTTATTTCCATAAATTATTCTTTCCATACCAAAGAAGGAATGCAGTAAAAATATTTTTTCATAAATAATAGTAGCATCTTTGAATTCCTATTACATTGAAAATATTCCTTTCTTGATCTTGGAAAATAATCTTCCATAATATAGATTGTACTACATTCATAATATATTTTCTTTCTATAGAAAATATATTCTTCTTCTATTATATTGAAAATATTCCTTTCTATCTTGAAAAATAATCTCTTTCCATAATATAGATTGTACTACATCTATAATATATTTTCTTTTCATAGAAAATATATTCTTCCTTGACCTTGTAGTATCTTTTCCATACAGTATTTTCTTTCCACAAAATAATAGTTTTTCTCCATGATTTTAACAACTTTCCTTTCAAGATATTGAAAAACTTTTCCTTCCATAATTTCCGCAGATTCTTCTTCAATATTTGAAATTTGACTTTCAAATATTATTCCTTCTATGACGCTTGGAGATTAAATCTCTGAAAATAATTTTCCTTGATAATATTTTTGCTCATAAATTATTTACATGAAATTCTCTTTCTCATATTTCTTTGGATCTTTACTAACATCTTCTTCCTTGAACAAACCCGTGCAAGAATAAAATTACCACAAGTAAATATTCTTTGATTAATAATTATGTTGGTTTGTTATCATCAAAATTAATACGTGAAACCTTGAGGCTAACAATCTCCCCTTTTTTGATGATGGCAAACCATTGAGTACAAAATAAGAGAATTTAATCAAAGACTTAATTAAAGGCAGTAATGGGATATGTGAGATAAACTGTCTACTTTCCTGAAGTAATCTTCTCAAAATGTAGGTAGTACAACAAATGAGAACTCCCCCTCACTCTATGCATTCCTCAATTATGCTCCCCCCTGTCTCCATGCATTGTATCTGAAATTTTGAGCTTTTGTACACATTATTTTTTCCCCCTTTTGTCATCATCAAAAGGGTGAGACATTTATATGAATTCAATGCATAGACAAAATATTCAAGGACATAAAAGACGGGTAAAGAATAT